GATGTAATAACCGATAAATTCCAAGCGTGGTCACGTTTAAACCAAAAATTTTCGAGCTTATACAGGGTGGCCCAAAGCAGTTGCCCCATACTAATCGAGTAGTTGCTGCTTGATTAATTAAACGGTTTGGTAGTTTTCCAAGCGGCAAAAATCTAAGATAGTTTCAAGCTTCAACGGTAATTCCCACTTAACTTGTATAAAATATTCGCTGAAACAAATAGGTTTACTGAAGTGAGAACGATACGAGCAGGCAAAAGCAATTATAGCTGCAACAGTGTTTCTAAATCCATTTTTTTTCCTGCTGAATGTCCGACAATAATGCAGAAAGGGGGCTCTTTTGGACCTGATGTTTTTCATCGCTTAAGACGTTGCGGTTTGGCAAGCGATTCGCAACAGTGAAAACGTGGAATTGGAATTTTTTCGTCCGCTTGCCCATGCTGGGCTGAAAAAATGCTTGATAATCAGCCATTTTATTACCACTGTCTAGGCCTATCTAGGGCAGGCCTAAGCCAATGGGATTTGGCCGGCAAATGCATTCAATACGGCCTGCTTGGGCTCATGGTGGGGTGCATCTACTTTTGTATGCACCACACTGTTTCGTCATTCTTATAGGCCTCATGCATGGGCAATTCGATGGTCTAATGAAGTCGTTTCAGGCCTTGTGCCTTCTACTATTGTTGGCTGTCCAATGGATGTTTTATCCCAATTTTCATTGGTTTCCTCACATGAGCGTGTTGATTCTTGAACTGTTCCTTTGTGAAGATTCACTTTTTTCCGACACAAATTTTCGTCATGTATCCAAGTAATAATTGTTGGTTTTTGGCTGTTTCCCAACGATTTTTTTTGAAAGTCAAGTGTGTGTAGATAAGCAAATCACTAAATGCGCTAATCGCTCGACACATAATGAATGTAGCGCACAATGAATTCCTGCATTTTTTTCCTGATAACGCATTCCTGATTCAATTGCCAATAAAACGTCTTATCTGGCTCATATTAGCACTCGTTTATCAACCAGGGGATGGTTGAGCCAGCGGGTTTTTCGGCAGGAAGCAGCGGGTTGAAAGCAAGGATTTTCTGAGGACGGATCTTTTAAAGGATTGAAAATGTAGAATTTTTGGCTGAAAAGAATCAGGATTTTCTGCGATTTGAGCGAAAATCAGTCTCGTGTTTGTACTATAGAATGAGCAAAACTCATGTTGCTAGACGGTTTGGCTTGGAAGTTGGGAATTTTTAAGGCGATGCTTGTAGTTGGGCGCAAATGTTCAGTTGTCGCTTAATATTTGCAAGGTTGTCAAAACTCAGAAAATTGTGCGATTTTATAAAAACTTTCGGCTGTTTTAGATTACACTGTCTTCTATACGGTGTCTTAGTTTTGAAGTGGCTACCTATTTCGCATTGGGTCAAAAGAATTTCTAAAAGAGTGCGTGCAGTTGAGTGAGTGTGCTCAATCTGGGCCCAGCATTTACAGGGTTGGAAAAATCAGAATTTCGTCCGATGCAAATGAAATGGTTGCGGTTTTTAGCCCGAAGCATCGTCGATAAAACGAGGGAATTTCAAGTTGCTACCTGGTTTGGATTGAAAGTTAAGAATTTTTTAGGCGGTGCTTGTGGTTAAGCAAAATTGTCCATTTTCAATATTTAGAGGGCTGGGAAAAATCGAAATTTTCTGCGATTTTAGCAGAGACGGCAAGGGCTTTCGGTTTAGGTTTCTTGTATAAGACGTGTAAATTCATCAAGTCGCTGGCTATTCTGAATTAGACGTGACAAATTTCTAAAATCGTGCGCGCAGTTGAGTGAATGTGTTCATTCTGGGCCCAGCGTTTACCGGGTTGCAAAAAATCAGAATTTTATTCTATGTAAATGAAAACTTTGCAGTGTTTAGCCCGAGGTACTTTCTATAGAGCGGGTAAATCTCAAGTTGCTTTTATATGTGAATTGCAAGTTAGGAATTTTTAAGTGCGTTTGCTCCAAAATGTTAATTTTTCATTCAATGTTTAAAGGGCTGAAACATCCGAGTTTATTGCTATGTTCATAAAACTTTCGTGGTTTTTAGTACGAACACTCTTGTGTAGGCTGCATCAATTTGCAAGTTCCAGCTGTTGTAATTTAAAACTTAGGAATTTTTCAAGAAAGTTGTGCAGGTTAATGAAAATGTTCGTTGTTGGTCTACAATTTATAGACTGGACAAAACTCGGGATTTTTCGAGATTCCAAGCAAAATATCACAATAGTGACCGCATAGCATCTGCTATAGGGTGCGAAAATTTCAAAATGGTATCTGCTCAGGATTGGAAGTTAGAAATTTTTGAATAGGAGCGTGCAATTTGGTCTCTGTCTAGTTTTGGCCTACGTTTTATAAGACCAACAAAAAACAGAATTTTGTGTGAATTTGGCGGAAAGTTTAGCCATTTCAGCTTTCGAGTTTGTAAATTTACCGTTACTAGCGATGCTCGATTGGAAGTTGCCAATTTTCAAAAGAGAGCGTGCAGTTGAGTGAAAATTGTAATTTTTAGCTCATTACCGGAGTTGGCAAAAATCAGAATGTCTTGCGATTTAAGTGAAAACTGTTGAGTTTTGAGCACCCACTTTTATCTAGAGGCGCGTGCAGGTTCCAAGTGGCTTCCTGCACTGAATCGGCATTTACGAATTTTTGAAAATTGGACTGCGGTTAAATAAAAATCTTCATTTTTGGCTTCTCATTGTCAGATTGGGCAAAAATGAGGTTTCTGTGCTTTTTGAGTGAAAGCCCCTATGATTGGAGCTGCGAGTCCCTTCTACAGGGCGAGCCAATTTAAAATTGCGATATGCTCTAGTGTGGAAATTGGGAGTTTTTAACGGAAAGGGTGCACTTGAGCGAAAATAACAATTTTTTACAGTGTTGGAAAAAAGGAGATTCCGTGTGATTTGAGTAAAAGTTTCTGTGATTTTAGCATCAAACGCCTCTTCTATGGGGTGTGCAAATTGAAAATCGCGTCTAGCTTTGGATAAAAAGTTGGACATTTTCGTTGGAAGTTAGGAGTTGAGTGTTCATTTTTTAGTCCAGCTTCTACAAGGTTGGCAAAAATCAAGAATCCCCACGATTTAAGCGAAATTTCCACTAGTTTTAGCCTCAAGTGTCTTCTTTACGGTGTGCGAATTTCATGTTGCTATATACTCATGTCTGAGAGCTGTGAATTTTTAATGGAAATAGTAATTTTGAGTAAAAATTGTAATTTTTGGCCCATTACGAATAGGGCTGGATGCGGATTAAGTGCGATTTATGTGAAATTTTCCTGATGTGCGTGTCAACTGTCTTCTATAGGGTGTGCCAATTTCAGATCGCAGGTCGCTGTGTATAGAAACTTGAAAATTTTTCTAGTAGTTCCAAATAGAGAATTTTAACTTTATGCTCAGCTTTTACAGAATTGGCAAAAATAAATAAGGAATCGGCACGATTTGAGCGAAAGTGCCCCTGGTTTTACCCTCAAGTATCTTCTATACGGTGTGCCAGTTCCATGTCTCAGAGCTGTGAATTTTTATTGGGAATAGTAATTTTGAGTAAAAATTGCCATTTTTGGCCAATTACGTACAGGGCTGGCAAGCATGCGGATTGTATGCGATTTTTGTGAAATTTTTCCGATGTCTAGCTTCAACTGTCTTCTATAGGGTGTGCCAATTTCAGATCGCAGGTCGCTGTGTATAGAAAGTTGAACATATTTCTGAGTAGTTACAAGTAGAGAATCTTCATTTTTAGCTCAGCTTTTACAGAATTGGCAAAAATCAAAACTCGGCACGATTTGACTGAAAGTTTCCCTGGTTTTAGCCTCAAGTCTCTTCTATACGGTGTGCGAATTGCATGTTGCCATCTCCTCATGTCTGAGAGCTGTGAATTTTTAATGGAAATAGTAATTTTGAGTAAAAATTGCCATTTTTGGCCAATTGCGTACAGGGATTGCGAATTGTGTGCGATTTTCGTGAAATTTTCCGATGTCCAGCGCCAACTGTCTTCTGTAGGGTGAGCGAAGTTGGGAAGAAGAAATATGAATTTTTAAATTAGATTGTCGCTGTTCAATTTTCGCCTATTACAACAGGCAAAATGAACAAGTTAATCCTGTGCTAGCCTGAAACCTTTCCCAATTTTTGCTGGCTTGTCGACCTCATAGACGTGCGTAGTTAATTATAAATGCATGGGCGCAAATAGGAATAATTATCAGGAGAGGACTGAGCCGACCTTGTGGGTCCGCCGGCCCTGAACTAGACATTCATTCGCAGCCTTTAAACCGACGCGAATTTGCGAACTTTCGGCTGCGGATTTCAATCGCGAATATTTTATTATTGCGAATTGCGTCATTATCCACATAGACGTATATATTGGTGAGACTCGGAAAGTTCCGTCCACGCCAAATTGTCGACAGATCGACACGTTGAAGCCTTTCGCGCTCCTCTTTTGCAAACAAACTGCTTTCGTATTCATATCGTGGAAGTCCGCCAGCCGGTTGTCAAACCACTTGCGGGGGCCCCCCAATTTCGGTTGGCCCATTAAGTGCGTGTAGACTTGGCCGCGATCTGATCTACACGGCTATCGAACACCAACCCAAGAATAGACCCTCTACACCAATAACCCCTTTAATAAACCGACCAACCATTGCTTACAGTATGGCCCAAACTTTTTGGCAGTGTCGCAATCAACGGCGTTCTTTTTCCTGTACTTGTCCTCCGAGCGAGACGGAAATCTGATGCTATTAACGTATGTCTTCCATCCTGATTTCCTGGCTAGTATTGGCAGTTTCTGTACATTTTTCCAAATTATCATTACAATTTCTTATTGTGTGTTTTTTTCAATTTTCTGCATAATTTCACTGCAGGTTTACAACCAGGAAAATAACACACTTTAACGGTCGCAGTTAACGGCTGTCACTGTTATTAGCGGATATGCCGAAAATGTAAAAAAGTGTGTGAAGAAGTTCCTAGAAGGTCATCTAAGGGTTTATGAATAATCGGGAAATAACATTCAGCATTCATGTTACTCAAAATTTGTTTAATTCTCAATTTATTTAATATAACAACAACAAGTTTTATGCCTCATAAGTTGTATGCAATTAAAAAATCTTTATTTCATAATGTATTTTTGTTTCTTCGAGGCTTGGAAAAAGAGTCCTTAAATGATGCACTTTTGCAGCTTCAAATCATTTAAATGCCATGTTGTCGATTGCAAAAAAAATTCTATACCCACATCAAGCAATACTAATGACGAATTTCTATAAAACCACACTGTAACAATAAAATCCGATTAAACTCAAGAAAATAATTTCTAATCACCAGGAACAACCGATCAAGGTGGCAATCACGCAAGATGAAAGAATATATTTCGCACCAATCGAATATGGCGTCTGAAATAATGACGTCACTGCCAAATAGCTTGGATCAATTGAGTTCTTCTGGCTGGATCTTCTGCCCCTTAAACACATGCTTTCAATATCACTCAAAGAGAGGAGTGGAGTGGGCAAAACTGTATAAAACCATCGGTATCTCAACTGCGTTTAAGCACTATTAATTGGTAGATATTTGAGACATTTGGTGCGGATAAATCTGAACCTGAACGAATTTTTGGCCGGTAAACACGCACATGAACGCCAAAATAAAGCCGACGGTCGTTACGGTTTGTGCGTTTAATTCGGGCGACACCGCGACCTCTACCAAAGTCGGATATGTTAGTGTTTGTTCCGAAAACGAAAACCAATTTATGATCGGGTTTGCGCTCCAGTCTCGTCCTCTACCTACGCACATTTTTCCTCGATTTGATGGGAATTTTCGTAAGTGTTTCCACGATTTTTCCACCTGGACACTCTATGAAGCCTCACAGTGCAAACTAGTGATTCAGTAGGAAAGTGCAACTTACCATCGGCAATCGATCCCACCAAATCCACAAGCCGTTCACTATCGGGTGCGGAACTCATTAATCCTTATATCTGAACTTGCGATTATTTGGCGTTGTAACACATCAAGAAAGCGTTACTTATTGGGGTTTTAAGGCCAACAATGCCAAATGTTTCCACTTAACTGAGACTATCTGCATGCGCTGAAATGAGCAAAAATCAGTTGAAACGTAAAAGTGACAACTATACCCACCAGAAGCGACATAATTTTGTAAAAGTTTGCGGAAAATTCGATAAATAGTCTGCGTTTGCAAGATCCATCAAGTGCAGTTCTATGAAAAAGCAAACATTTCCTCCGGGTTTCAAGGAAAAAATTACAATTGTTTCCACTAAAACTGGCAAAAAGTATCAGTTTACTCCTACAGCTAAAAAAATCACAAAAGCTTTGGATTCAGTTACTATATTTAGCGATTAAATTAAATTTTTTGACAATTGTTCCCACTAATGTGACAATTTCATTAAGTTTAAGTGGTAAACTTGATAAATAATGAACATTTTTTTCTTTCAAAATTCTCTCAACGAAGTGACTTTATTGGAATAAACCAATTTTTTTTGGTGTTTCAAATTTTTTAGTGTAAAGTTTGTTAGGTAATTACAATTTTTGAAAGAAAAACTCAATTATTCGTAGTTTCAAGGGGAAAATTGCATTAAACCAACAACTTCTTACGTCTGAAACACAAACTTGATTAAAAGCGAGTGATTTTGGTCCTAAATTAAATTGAAGATGCACCAAGTCAGTTTATATGGAGAAGAACGAATTCGTTGGGGGTTTCAAGGGCGAAATTCACAACTATTTCTACCCTTTTACTCATCTATTGGGAAAAACTTGCAAACAATTGCCTAAGCTAAAGAAAAAAGGCGCAAAAACTTTCGAATTAGTCAAAATTATGAGCGATTCATTAAATTGGCCATTCAATTGGGTTTGACGCGAAAACTTGCAACAGTTATAGTTTTTACTGGTCAAAAATTGTATTACAGTTTTTTAAATAAAAACTCATTTGCTTGGAGTTTCAAGGGCAAGCATAACAACTACTTCCACTTTTTCCTTACTTACTTTTTAAGTAACCGGCAATAAGCTGTAAAACGTTTCTCCTGCAGTTAGAAACATTCTTCCAATTTGACGCAAGAATGACAATTACTTCCCTTTTTTAATTACTTTTTGAGATAAAATCGGCTATACGCTGTATTCAGTTAAAAAAAAAAGTTCATTCAACTTGAAATTTTTCCCACTAAATCGACTTTTTCAATTTTTATGCAAAATCTCTATAAGTAGCCAGAGTTTTCGGTTACAGATTCATTTAGGGATGCATAAACTGCAGTTATGTGAAGAAAAGCAAATTTTCTTGGACCTTAAGGGCAAAAATGACAATTACTTCTACCGTTTTTATTAATTTTGGGGCACACATTGACAATACGTTTTATATTCTTTCGTCTACATGTCATAGAACGGGTTCGTTTCATAAACTGAAGCATAAAAGTTCCTTTATTATTTAGCCATTGAACTTGAAAACAATTGCTCCTACCAAAGTGACTTTCTTTAAATCATACGTAAAAACTAAATAACCAGCGTTTCTTGTCTAGATTCATTTGAAGATGCATAAACCGCAGTTATATGCAGAGAAGCTCATTTACTTGGATGTTATGAGCAAAAACACAATTACTTCCACCAATTTTATTACCTTTTCCGGTTCAGTTGAAATATTCAGCTGTGAATCTTGAAAACCAACAATTGTTCCCACTAAATGGAAAATTTATTAAGATATGGCGCAAATACTCGCTAAATACCCAGTGTTTTCATATCTAGATTCAGTTCAAGATGTATAAACTGCAGTTATTTGCCGGTTCAATTGAAATATTCAGCTGTGAATCTTGAAAACCAGCAATTGTTCCCACTTAATCGACAATTTATCAAGATTTTCCGCCAATACCCGCTAAATAACCAATGTTTTCATATCTAGCTTCAGTTCAATATGTCTATAGTGCAGTTATGTACAGAAAAGCCCCTTTATTGGCATTTTAGGAGCAAAAAATGACAATTGCTTCCAGTGTTTTTATTACTTTTTGGGACAAAACTGGCAATAATTGCAAATAACAACATTCCTTCACGATGGTTGACAAAACGGCCAAATTCTTCCGATTAGGTGTAAAATTTGGAAGCAGACAATTGTTCCCACTAAATCGACAATTTTTGGCGCACGCCGCTAAAACTTGATAAGCAATCAGCGTTTCACGTCTAAATTCATTATGCTAAACTGCAGTTATGAGCAGAAAGGCTAATTTACTTGGACTTTAGGAGCAAAAAATTATAATTACTCCCACCGATTTGGTTAATTTTTGAGGCAGAACCGGCAATACAATGCCGTTTCTCCCGCAGTTGAAGAAAGGAGCGATTTTTTCCGATTTAGTTGAAGTATTCAGTAGCAAAACGTGCAAATGCAGCGTGAAAAATTCCATGCAGCTGTACTGGTGATTGTTCCCACTAAATTGACATGACGACTTTTAAGCTGCATGTAGATGCGTTTTATTTAAAAATTTGGCAAATGTGACGCAAGCAAACTGAAGAAATGTATTTTCTGCATCGAATGTACAGTTTTCTGTGACAAATCGCCACTATTCAAGACATTCCATATTTTTTCCGATTGGTTCCGAATTACACAACGCGACGAGTCCCTAAAGTTAATTTACCAGACGGTTTGCAGCCAGTTGACCATAAACAACTAGTTCAATACCATTTTGGGAATCCCGACTTTTTTCCGCCAATAGAAAGCGGGCCGATACTGTTAGATAGTTGTCGTTGCAGCAAGAAAAAAACGGTTCGAAAGAAGAAAGAAAAACATCGAACTGATTGGGCGAATTTTTGGGAAAAACCGGCACCCGGAAGCGAAAGCATGTCTGATCGAGTAGCCGTACCAATAATGGCTGATTGCTAGTGATTTATGAAAATCGGCACGTCGATGGTACGGACGAATTGAGCAAAAGGCCAACAACTGAATGATGCTTTTGGCAAAAGTTTGACGCTGAAGTACAGGTGTTGAGTCGCAGGAACCGGCACCTGCCCAAAGTTGCGAAGTTGAGATAACGATGAAAGTAATAAGGGAAAATTGTGGTGGTCTCGACACATTTGAAAGGCAAATATCCATTTCCTGAGGGCCCACAAACGGTTACTGCCAAAAAAAACCATTATTGCTCGAATACCGAAGAATGCCCGAAGACACTTTTATTAGGTAAATGAAGCCCAGCTAAGTGCCGTTTTAATTATTATTCGAGGCTACAACTGTTCCTACCAAATTCTAATAAATCCACTTCTAGTTGCCAAGTTGCATGGACGAGATTTATGAAAATTCTCTCAATTACTTAAGGTTTTGGATGGTTAAGTGGGCAAAAATTTTTTGGGGATTGGAGATAAACAGATTTCGGCATTCTTGGCGCAAAAGTGGAAACAAATTGCGATTATTCACCGATTAGACACAAAACGTGACTATTGTTCCCACTAAATCAACCTTTCCTCGTTGGTCTTTTAGAACCGGGATGAGCTACAGCTATTTCACCGATGGAGAATTCTGTAATAGGAAACGAAAATATTTTTTACTCAGTAACCGACACATTCCCACAAAACTCAGTTCATTTGCATTTTTTAAATTGTCAGAAACTGGCCCCATCAGACGCAGGCAATTGTAAATCTTCAATTACTAGACTTAAAAAATTACAATTGTTCCTACTAAATTGACGTTTTGTTTCTGATTTTCAACATATCTTAAATCTAGTCAGCTATTGCAAAACTGGTGCCATTCAGAGGCACAATTTTGGGAAGAGTTTAAGTGAATTGTATGGAGGTTGAAAAATTGGACTCAAAAAGTGACAATTGTTGACAAAAACTTGGTAAGGCAGCGGCTGTTTTGGGTCTGCAATAGAATCGGATAAAGCTGAAAACACGCTGATACCGAGAAAACCTAATTTAAAACCAAATCTGACAAATATTCCTACTAAACTTCCACTACTTTCTACAAAACTTACGGTCATTTCAAATTTAAAGCAATTGAACATTAAAAGCGACAATTACAATTACAAGCTAAATGAATCCAGAAATTTGAGACTAAAACTTCATAGAAAGTCTAATGTTTTTGTGCCTACATTCATTTGAAGAACCCCAAAATAAATTAAGAAAAATAAAAGTTTACTAGATCGAAATTCCAAGGGCGTGACTGACAAATATTCCCACTAAACTTTAAAGATTCGCGGTTTAAAAAAAAAAAAAACCGTCATTAATTTGCAGAAATTTAGTCAGTGTGTTTTGAAAAGTAACAAATACTCCAATTGCGGATGATAGTTTAAGCTATTGGACGCTCAAGGCGACAATTGATCCAACTTAATCGGCAATTCCAACACTTTTCAAGCGTTGATTGATAACGATAAAAATATGGTTTAGAGTCGATTTTTAGTTAATAACTGACAATTATTCCCACTGAAATATAGATACTTGCAACTTTCAAAACTGGCATTAATTTGCACAAATCTACACAACTAATTGAAGAAAGCGACAAAAACTCCCCCACTTGCTACTCCGAAGCCCTTTTGAATACCAAACGCAACAATTGTTCCCACTAAATCGACAATTTCAAACTTTTCACTGTTAGATTCATTTGAAGATGTCGAAAGTTCATTTATCAGAAGAGAATATCTTTTGGAATCGATTTTGAAGGCACAAATGACAAATATTCCTACTAACGTTTACGTACTGATAATTATTTCTACAAAGCCAGCTTTAATTTGAACAAATCTATACAAATAGTTGAAAAAGGCAATAAATACTGCAATTGCTAATGCTGAGCTTTTCTTGGCGGCATCAAACCTGACAATTGTTCCCACTAATTTCTTCAGTTTTCAAGCAGAAGTGCATTTATAAGAAGGGCATTTTGTTTGGATATCACTTAATGGACAAAACTGCAAATGTTCCCACTAAACTTTAAACACTTGCTATTTTCTCCATTCCAAAAAAATACTTGGAAAACTCTTAGGAACTGGGGCTTCTTCACTTTTGGGTCAATATTTCTAAACAACACTGTCTCTAAACAGAAAAACTGCGTTTTTCCTAACGTTTTACTGTGAAATACTGGCAAACTGAATATTTTATGCAAAAATATTGAGAGATCGATTTTACAAGAAAACTCATCGACG